GCTCTGAAGGCTGCTTCCTCAATTCCTTTTCAGATGGAGGCTCTGCTTAGAGCCCGGGGATTGACCGACGTCAAACTGCAGTGGAGGATGAAACCTAAAAAGAAAGACTGAGAGGGAACCACAAAACCTGACTGGAAGACCTAGGGTTAATTTAGTTTTTTTCTCTTTAACACAACATATAATCATAGATTGAAATTATATCAAACTCATAAAAGTAGTAGTTCATTAGCTTATAATTACACTAAAAGTAACATTCTGGTGTCTGCAGACACATGCCGACTATGAAAAGTCCAATAGTTAAGTTTTTTTGCTTCATAACATCTTTCACTAAACAGTACCATGTTAAAAAAATGACTGTTTTTCCTCAAACCTACTTACATGTTTTGTCTCTTTTAAGCAGAAAAGGCCCTTTGTCATGTAGTTGTTTGTTTGATCGATATATAACGTGCCGCTCTAGATTGTTTTTATTTGTTTTGTCTTTTTACTTGTAGTGAGATTGAAAATAAAGCTTTTGATTGATTTGCCTCTTAAAAATCTCACTGACTTGTGGAAGTTTTTTCATCAGCTGTAACCAAAAAAACACTGATATTTTCAACATATTCTATATTCTCGTGTATAAAAGCTGGAGGGAACCCACGCAGACACAGGGAAAACATGGAAACTCCACACAGAAAAGTCCTGGTTCCCCCAGGAACTCTAACCCAGAACCCTCTGGCTGTGAGGTGATGGTGCAAACCCCCACATAATCCAAACAGATACATGACAGGTGTGATGTTGCATGAACAGAACAGGAAAGAGTGAGTGCATATTGATATGTTTAGTATAATAATTTGCATAGGAAATGGAAGAAAAATTCCCCTTTTTTCCCCCGACTGTTGTCAGCTTTACAAAGACAAACCTGTAATCCCGAACACGCAAAGTATGAATTCACCCAGACAAACTTTGCATAGGAAAATTGCTTCAAGAATTTTTGTTATAGCACGGTTGACTGCACATGAGTAACTCAGTCGACTTCCAGCTTCCAGCGGCTCTGCTCAGTAAGTACGCTTCAAGACTTCCAGGGTTGGTATCCGGTGGGTTCTGCAGCAGTAAACCTTTTCTAAGTGGCTGAAAGAGGAAGAAACTCACAGCAGGACAAATCTGAAAGGTAAAAACTGATGATTTTTAAAAAAAATTTAAAGATAGAAGTGAGCTGGGGCAGGCCGACGGCTTCATGTCGAGTCAGGCTGAGTTTGATTTGTCAGACATCATGATGAAGAATTATGAATCGGTCAAAAAAATCCAAATTTGAGATGAAAACCACAGATAAGTAAAGCAGTATGCAGTTTCTTTACTGTGGGTTTACATGTGCATTAGGCTGTTAATCAAAAGGAGACCAAGAATTAAAAGAAAAAATGGGCTTTCATTACTTTTAGACTCTGTTTCATAAATAACTGCAAATGTTATTTTGTTCAAGGGATGATTTCATTTTTCCTCCTGGTTTTTTGTTTGTTTTAGTGACTGCGAGCAAAAGACGTGCAGAGGCTTCACGTCTTGTTTTGAGTGACATTTTCTTCATGTTTGCAGTGAAAATGGATCGGCTCTTGATGCTAGCAGCGTTGCTCCCTTTTGGTGAGAGTTTCAAATTTAAACATTGCAAATGAAAAACAATGGTTATCTTTTCAGTGTTTTTGTCATTGGATCTTATCAGAGGTGTTAAAACATAAAAAAATAGGAAAAGATTGAGAAAAATCTTCTGCAGCTCACAGCAGACGATTGTAGCAAAGTATTCTCTGGCAGAAAATGAAAAAAGAAAACACCCTAAAATATCACTGTCAGTAGTGCCTGAGGTCACTAAAGCATCCACCAATGGGTTGCTTTCTTCTTAGTAATATTTAAAATGAAAAAGCTTGCCTTTAAGCTCATCCAAGTTTTTTTGTTCAGCGTTTTTCTCCTCCTACCAAAATTAGCACAATGTAACTTAAACTAAATGTTCAAAATCAGCTGCATTTCTGTGCTATTCTATGTGATAACCACAAAGGGAGCATGAACCCGGATCCTCGGTAGATATCAACCTTCTTTTTTTATGAATTTTCCTGTAGCCTCATTCAAAGAAACGGGACTCCTCTTTGTGTCCTTAAGCTGCAGAAGGCTGATGAAGATCAGTTCATTTGGATCAGGAGATGGGAAACATGGAAAACATGCGGGGCAATGTCCAGAGAAACCAGCAGCTGGGAAACACTGACGCTGACGATAAAAACTCCTTTATTTAGTTTATGAAAGATATTTAATTCTTTCATAAGAAGTAAAATACTTCCTAGAAGAGTCGCTCAGCTCAGAGATTTGATATTTTTTTGGAAAAATAAAGTCACAACATAGAAGTGACATCAGTGAATACCTAATTTAAATGATCCACTAATCTGCATCTTTTCCTCCATCAATACTCAGGACTTCCCCTCAGCTCCTGCTCACACCCCCCACTTCGTCAGTACCACTATGTTTCCACAGAAATGAACTGGACCGAAGCCCGACAGTTCTGCAGAGAGAAATACACCGACCTGGCCACCTTTGACAGCATGGATGACCTCAGCAGGCTGAAAGCTGATTTCTCTTATTCCTGGGCCTGGTTTGGACTCTGGGATGACCCTGAAAACTGGAGAACCTCCATGGCTAATGACACCAACTCTTGGAGGTGGTCAGCGACCGGGGAAACCAGCAGAACCGGGTACCAGAACTGGGCCTCTGGAGAACCAGATTACCTCAAAGCAAAGGAAACATGTGTAGCGATGGGTTCTAACGCATTATGGTCTGATGCAAATTGTGAGACCACAAGAGAATTCATCTGCTACAACGGTAATAATACACTTTATTGATCCAACAAAGTGATTTGTTTTATTAAAAGTAACAAAGAGCCTGTAACCCATTTCCGGTTTCTTATGTTTGATCCAAATGTAAAGCATGAAAAACAAGGTCCTGTTTCAGGTTTTGAGTCTGACTGAAAATTTTAATAATATAATAAGATCAATTTTATTTACCTCCAGATCTGAGCAGCCAGTGTGGAGTTAGAAAACTTAAAGCTTAAATGGAACAGTTTTACCAAATAATAGGTTTAAGTTTGTGTTCTGTCTTACTGAATAACTTAACTCACTGTGGGTTATTTTCTGCTGTTTCAGAGAACAACAAGAAAACCTATTTCCACATCCCAACCAAGAAAACATGGCAGTCTGCTCAGCAGCACTGCAGGGAACACTTCACCGACTTGGCCATGATTGAGAATGAGGCAGAAAACACTAAGGCCAACGAAGCAACACAAGGCACTGGTTCTTATTGGATCGGTCTGTACAGGAACCCCTGGACTTGGTCTGACCGGAGCCAAAGCTCCTTCAGGAACTGGAACCACACAAAAAATAACAATGATGGTCAACAACAGTGTGGGGAAGAAAATCCGCAGCATGAGTGGGGGGATGATTATTGTGACTATAAGAAGCCCTTCATCTGCCATCAAGGTGACTACTGATGCTTAAAACATGCTTCAAGAACCTCAAACTTTCTCTGACCTGATTTCTGTTCAGTTTTA